TGTTGTCTTTTTTTTTTTTTTTTTTTTTTTTGTCTCATTTATATAATCATATTTTTTTTTATTGAGAATGTATTTGTTTCTTATTTCATCTGTCTAGTAATAACCAATTCCTCCTACTTAACGTTGTAGTTGTACAGATTTTAATTTACCTTCTTAAAATTATTCAAAATACATACACACATTTCTCACTTCTTGTTGGAAATATGGACAAAAAATAATTTAATTACATTATTTACTATTAATTGTTGACAATTAAATAAGGGTAAACTAGAAAAATTCTTTTTCAATAATATTAAATAAAATTTCTTAATCCGTATGAAAGACAAAATCAGCCTATATAGATGAGATGGAATGAGTATTTATGAATTGTTTTATGGTGTTTAAAAAATGCTTTTAATTGATACGATTGAAAATTTACCATTCATGCAATGATTTTTCAATAAATTGTAAGCGATTCCAAATATATTTATTTGAGATTTGAATACTAAGCAGAAATAATTTTCACAAAAATATATTGTACTTACCTTAGAGGGCACCACTTCGAGCCAAAAATATTGTATTCTGGTTCTCCCTCTTGATAGTTCTTTATAGGTACAAAGACGTTTACGCTGCTGCGTTTTTTCATGCTTCTGTACATCTGATTATAGGATACAACTAATCAAACTTTGGAATAAGAAAAAAATTATTCCCGCTTTCTTAATTCAAAGATTAAATAAACAATAAAAACTTAAACGAATTACATTAGGAAGTCCAACTGGCAAATAAAAGATTTAGTGTGTGATTTTTTTTTCTGTACTTTGTTCAACTAAAGTTATAATGGGAAAAATTTAATCAAGGTTTGATGTCAACTCCTCACCATCTTGAGACTAGTATGTTTTAAGGTCCATTAAAGCGATATGTGAGCTCGGTCAACTTTGTGAACATAGTTCGATCAATATTCACATATTAATGTTAGTTTCTCTCTCTCTTTTTAAAATGTTTTACTAAGATCACATTTTTATTGACTTCTTTAAAATTTAGAGAATAAGTGACAAAATATAAGAATCAACGTAGAATTACTTCCATTAATTGACAATAGAATCATTGTGGTGCGGCCAGGGGTGGAGTCAGGATAGTAAAGTTGTGGGGGCAAAATTAAAAATTATAAGGAATTTTTTTGAAAATCAATTTTGAAAAATTTATTGCAAAATCTTGGATTTCAAATTTAGTGTGGGGCCCACTGTACATCCATTCATGGGTGCAGCCAACTAACAAGTAGTACGAAAGCATAACGAATAAACAAAATCCAATCGTTTTCTAAGATAAAAAGACAACCAACGAAGGACTTGTCGTCTTAAATTTCAATCGAAACCCAGAAATAAAAGAAACTATTAAAAGACTAAAACATCAGCATTAATGAAATTGATCCTCCGTTGTATTTGACTGGCGTGCAACTCAGGCCCACGTGGCTGCCTTGGTGTGATTAGTTTTAGCATGAAAATCCGAAGATCCACTGCATTGTGCCTATCTATCTAAAGTAATTTTGTAAATATTATTTTAAACTCCTAAGTTTAGTGTGCCTAACCTACCTACATACCTATGTTAACATTGTTTTACCATTTCTAAAGTGTCTATAGGTACAATTTTAATCTAGACATCAACAAAAACTAATGCCTAAAATTAGAAATTAATCTACTTTGGATGACAACAAGTGATTGTTTTTTAAACTGGTCAATGACGGAATGTCATGTCCCTCAAGAAATATGACAAAATTGTCTGACAATTTGGCAAGATTGTTGTTTTTATGTTCAGCTACTTTAACATGGACTACAGGCAAGGGTGATCAGTCTTTTTCTCCCCATAAATTATGAATTTTTCTTAATGGTTCAATACTTATCCCAGTCATCTTTTATGGTGTTGACTAGAACACAAATAAATCTTCTTCTTTTTCATATATATGATCTAGTACTACTGTACATGTGTGCTAAATATATATAATCAAAGAGAAGAATGAGAGTGATTCCTAGAAAATACGTGCTATATAGGAATAACTTAAACTCTTATACGTTGATTTATATTTATATCATTTGGATTCCTAAATGCTTCCATTTGTGAAATCAATTTTTATATGAGATTGCAAATGACAAATTCTCAATTACAATTAAGGTCTCTTCTTTCTAAGTGCAAGATCAATTAGAGTAACCACGCGTACTTAATGGATTTTTTGGGATTGGACACAGTATTAAAAGTATTTTAGATGCACGTATTCCTTCGTGGACGATTGGGACGAAGGCATAAAAGTCTACCGAAAAAAAAAAAAAAAAAAACTTGTTCTTCTGGAGATCTCGGAAAGAAGCAATTTTCTATACCATGATTAGCTCCACAATTTTCACATATAGAAATGACCATCATTGCATTTGCGCCGTGTTTAAGACTACAAAAAAAAAAAAAAAAAAAAACTAAGAGTTACCTGGAGATGGCTCTTGATGTGGGCAATATTTAGTTCTTTGACATCCATCATTTGCAGAATCCGCTTTGGAGTTGCCTCTGTCACATCAAATATTCATTTTAAACAAAGTGCACGAACATTAATTGGTTCAATCTATCCAAGAAAATACAGTTTATATTCAAAATTCCATGTTTAAATAACTATCCTTGACTACCTATAAAAAACCACATATACCGATAGAAATCAGTGCATCCAAAATTGAAAGAAATTGAAATCGTATATTTTCATAGAATTATCACCAAAAGAGTGCTTCAAACAAGTGATCAAAAGAACGTAAGATGAAACTTACTGTATTTCCCACCAAGTTGCTCAACTGCTTCAACAAAGAGTTGATGAAGCTCAGACGTCCATCGCAAACGTGGATCGGAAGATTTCCGGTATTTCCTTACCCTAATTCCATCAGAATTTTCCATTTCTACCGTATAAGATATTTCCATAAAAGAATGATTCAATGAATATAAATGCAGCTATAAATTGATGGTTGTCGTGTATTCTGAAAACATGGACTTTGTCGAAGGTGTGCGGGCTGGACTTTCGTTAAAATATTCTTATCCCTTAACTTTTCTGGTAAAACACTTTGAAAATTGAAACCCTAATTTTGGATTTTGTTCTTTCTTTTTTTTTTTTTTGTAAAGTGAGTATGGCCGTTCCGGGACTCTGCTTGTTCATGTATCAAGATGCATAAATAGAGTGTTGAATATAAGATTAAAATAAATAAATCTGTGTGCCGATAAATAGTTTAATTTTTTAAATATCGAAATAAGAAAATGAAATGTCATAGTGACATGAGACGTGGAAATGTTATTTCTGAAAAGAGTATGACACGAAACATTAGGGAAACATTGTATAGAAAATGATAGATATCATACTTAATTTTGAAAAGATATTTAATAGTAATTCAAACTTTAATAACTTGTTTAACTTTTTGTAGTACAATTAAGAATTAAAGTCTGACCTTATGAGCTTGTTTGGAATTGATTAAAATTCAATTAAAATTGAAAATATAGCCGTTATTGGGTCCCACTCGTCTAATAAAAGTAAACTCCAACGGCTATATTTTCAATTTTAATATGATTTTAATCTATCCCAAACAAGCTTATAAATTTTTTTAGTTAAAACTCAGCGTTAAGTTAATTTTTACTTACGAAGTCAATAATAATGTGCTGTTCTTATTCCAAGTTATCAAATATTTTTGACAAAATTTTCCTAAGAGTTTCCGTGAATATTCCTCAAGGTTTTTGAATTTTATTTTAAACAACGTAGGAAATATGTTAGAATTTGAGTGTGACCCGAATTCCTTATTGAAATAATTGAAGTACACGTCAAGAAGAATTCAGTTCGAAATGCTATTGGAGTCCTATATCAGGTAGAAGTTCTATTTTTGAAGCCTAATTGGGAGTTAAAATTTGTTATGAACTCGATTTTTTGGTATCCTACTTCATCAATAACTCTACTAGGAGGGTTTGGACATTCCCTACATGTTCTCTATAAATATTAGGTTCTTCTATACAATTTTATAATGTGAGAAAATAGATTACTAAAACTTTATGATCAATTATATATTTTTCCATTATTATTAGTACAATAAAATCTCACAATTCATCTGCCATATTTTCTTGTCTTCTTTTATTCTTTTACTTGTGATTGATCAAATACTTCAATATTGTAACATATAATTTCAACATCTCAATCCAATTATTGGTTTCATGTCAAGTGATATCGAGCAATACGTGATCCTTGAATTCCCAACAATTGAGATTATGGGCATAATTAACACAATGAGTGGTATTAGAGTTATTCTAGTATATATTTTCTTGTCTTTTTTAATTCTTATGCTTACAATTATATACTTCATATTTTCCCATATAACTTTAACATCTCAATTAGGTGGTTGGTTTCATATCAAGTGGTATCGAGCGATACGTGATCCTTGAATTCCCAACAATTGGTATCGGAGCAATTCTAGTATATTGTTTGTTTCACAACAAAATATTTTGAAATTTCCGAATCGTTTCCTAGACTTTTCGAAGATTTTAATTTTTGAAAAATGTCCAAAATGGAAATGCTAGTCTTAGAAATTTGTGTTCAACATAGGGTATCAAAATCATACACAAAATCGATGTTCATGTTGTGTGGCAACTCATTTATTATACATATTTATCCTTCTATAAAAAGTCCAAGATTTTAGTTGAGATTGTTAGTCACCACCTATTTATAATAATTGTGTAGGTGCCGAAATAACCAAATCATCTAGCCCTCAAGAGAATTAATACGTATAGACCTTTGTAAGCAGCCCAAATGTTTAGATGAGATTAGGTTAGGCATTTGGATTTGTATTTTTTGAAGTTTAATTAAAATTTAAGACAAATGATTTTTAATTATACTTTTGAAAATTTCTCTGTTTGTAATTCAAATTTGAATATATGTAACATTTCAAAAGGGCCATTTCAATACCACAATCAATTAATAGAAAAACACTTATTCTATTCCGTGTTATTTTTTGTTAGTATGGTCCAAATCTCATCTATTAATAGAAAGGGACACGCTTTGCACACGGTGATAGGAAATCTCTTCAGTGGTCAAACTTTCAGGAAATTCTCAATTGAGTCATTAAACTCCAATTTATTTCAATTCAGTCGGTGAACATTAATTTTATTTCATATTTCATATCTCAGTCATCTATAATTGATCCTCTACGTATGCGCTACATGACACCTATAAACAAAAAAAATGTAAAATGAGTTTAAGTTTTTATATTGGAAGGTTAAAGGACGTGTTTTACATTTTAACATTTTTATGATGTGGTTGTTGACTACAAAAATTATAATCAACAAATGTCTCTGGATTTTCTCCTCGTAAACTCTGATGTCCAGCAAGGAGTGAAAGGGGAAATGATTAATTAGATGGGAGATATTTGAATTTGCACATCTCTTTCCTTTTAGGTGGTGTATTCGCCTGTTCATTCCTTTACATTTTCTTATTCAACAACGATTTATTTATAAGTTGGCTTGTCATGCAACGATTATGTAGAAGATCAATTACAGTAGGATTGCTAATTGAGTTAATATCACTATTTTGTTGGAAGATGACAGGTGATGGAGTGGTTAAATGTGAAACCAAATTGAAGTTAGTAATCCAATTGACACTAAATTCACTTGCAATCACCCCAATGACACTAAATTGAAGTTCAGTGACCAAGTTGACACAAAATTAAAGTTAGGTTTGGCTGAAAGTTCCCAAGAAATTTACCTTTTGATTTAAGCTTCTTTTTTCTTTCTTCAAGGTATACTACAAGACGTCATCGCATTACAGTTACCCTTTTTTTTTTCCTAAAGAGAGCAAATAATTTCATTTGCATGGGAGGCTCGAATCCAATTCACTAACATTAAAAAATTTTGTTCTTATAACTTGAAGTAAACTTCGACTTACAATTATTCGTTATTTTAGTTTCGTTAGAAAATTATTAAGCCATGACTATAACAACTATATGCACACTGAAGTATACAAATTTCCTTTTGTCAATTCACCTTGTGCATTGCGAAAATCCCCAAGAAATTATAATATTGATGAAATAATAATTCTAATGATTGAGTAACAGAAAAATGGTGTAAAAATATTTAATTATAGACCAAAGAATGCATGTGCAAATAGTAGCCTCTGATAAAGACGAAGGCCACCAAGTAGCAAAATAAAGCATGTGCAAATAAGTCAAAAAATGCATTTAAATAGAAAAGCAAAAGTCATATCCTTTTCCATCACTTTCATGTCAATAAAAGACGGTGCCTACTTCTGGACCCATTTACACATATGCTGTGCCGTGTTCAAAGCTAAGCTTTCTTAAATTCAATATGAGATGTCATAAACGACAATTTCAAGTACCAATAAATTCCCGTAGATATTATATGTTTCGCAATGTAGAAAAACAATACCTATGATACCTACAAAGGCGAATTCTAAGGAACCGTACAACGCGTTTAAAAAATGATAAGAATATTTTATATTTTTATTTAAACAATTTTATTACGCCTGAGGCCCAAGAAGAAGCTTACGTAACGCCTCATCGAAGATCAAGTGGCAGCCATACAGGCGCGTCATCAAGGCCCACATTTCATGTAACGACATGGTTCTTGTGCTCAAACTGTTAATTTACGTACCGTCCACTATATGAGAGTTTGAGCTCATCTTATCCCTCAAAAATTTCTGTCAAGTTCATGAGATTCAAACTCATGACATTTCCATCAAGAGAGACTTAAGTTGTAATTGGTACAAGGATTCAATTTAAATTTATCTTAAAGAAAATGTTATGGATTCGAATTTTGGGGTTGCGATAGAAATCCGTGAGAAATAAGATGGATTCAAATTCTCCACAAAAAAAAAGTACGTAAGTTAACGGGTTAGACATATAAGTTGGGTTGTTACAAAACTGTAATACCCCCAAATCTAGACACCGAGATTTGAAAGTATTATTTAATTTATTCTTAAAATCATACATGCGGAAAGACGATTAAATTTTTCTTTGATGTAATGACTCCATTTATGAAAATAAATTGTCTTTAATACGAGTATAAGACAATTAATTTAAATGTTAACACTAATTGCAAAACGTATTCAATATTAAAATATGTTAATACTGAGTCAGTGTCTCTATAAGTCATCATCTCGAATCATCTCGCCTTCATCATCTGAAAATGGGAAATGATAACGTGAAATAAGCTACGCTCAATAAGCAAATCTCATGCATAAGATGCATACTTGTTTTAAATTAAAAAAAAAAACCCTTTTCTCAATATGCATATAAATTATTTTAAAATAAAAAATATTTCTCAATATCTATCCCATTTTCTTTCATTTCGTTATAAAAACTTAACATTAACATCGTGAATTCACAGTATATTGCCTAACCAATCAATATACAATGAACAACTATTATTTGGAATCCGCTTTGCAGAGATGGCAAAAAAAATTCGGCCTGAACGCGGCGGGGATTACCTGCTTAATCAGGTATTCGGGGAGAGAAATTTTGCCCCGATGCGGGTTCGGTTAGGGGCGGGGATGGGTAGAGGGTGCTCCACCCCGTTAAATTTTTTTTTTTTTAGAATTCAATATTTTAAATGAAAAATTTCATGAAATTTTATTAGTTCTAATAGAAAATGACAACTAAAATTATTTGTCTCAATCTAATGAATTAAGACAATCAAATAATTTATCAAAAACTTAAAAAAACAAAATTAAACGGGGTAGTAGATAGGGTAAGGGCCTTGCCTCACCCCGCCCTGCCTTAAATGAATAACAGGGCGACAGTGGGGGAGGTTACCCATCCTCGCCCCTCCCCGCCCCGTTGCCATTCCTAAAAATTCGTCTTGTCGGTAGTACCGCAAATCGGTAAACATTAATATTATCATTGATCATTGGT